CGTAATAGCGAAGTAGAGTATCCCACTGTTAAATACGCGAATTACATTTTATCGTAATAGCGGAGTAGAGTATCCCATTGTTAAATACACGAATTACATTTTATCGTAATAGCGGAGTAGAGTATCTCACTGTTAAATACGCGAATTACATTTTATCGTAATAGCGGAGTAGAGTATCTCATTGTTTAATACACGAATTACATTTTATCGTAATAGCGGAATAGAGTATCTCACTGTTAAATACACGAATTACATTTTATTGTAATAGCGGAATAGAATATCTCATTATTAAATACATGAATTAAATGTTGTGGTAATGTCGGAGTAGAGTATCTGGTTTCAAAACCCGCAAACTGGCTAATTATACAAAAATTACTTTTGGTACTTAATTTATCCAACCTGTATCGGTAGTTTCACGAAACTTTAATAATGCTTGTTCCGTTCTGAATGAAGTCTTAACTACTTGTGTATTCTAACTGTAAATCCAGTGCTCAAAGCTGTCTTTAACTCATTCATTGGTGCATTGACATCACTAAATATTTTTTTTAGTTCTTTGCTTGAATTTCAGGAATTGACATATCCTCACTTTAGAAACTTTCAAATCTGCTTTTTTAGACAGAATCTAAAATACCAGCTGTAGAATATTAAATTATATACAGATCCGTTAGTTTCACAGGTAAACAACGAGTTTTGTTGTATTCATTAGTTAATTTTCATAATTTCCTGAGAAAAAAAAACTAGTTCAGGAGAAAATTTCTACCCTAACCTTTAAGGATCGTGCTGTAGCAGTAAGGGTTATTACTCACTCGCCAATAATTCTGTAGAGCAGCGTTTCCCAAAATGTGGACCCCTCAGAGGAGCGCAAATGACCTCTTGGGAGACGTTAGAGATTAGGGTAGAGTCAACAGTGTAATAATGTAAAATTAGATGTTCTAATATATAATTTTCAATAAGGAAAAAGACAACTTACTATAACAACACATATAGCATTTTTAGGAGCATCTGTGTGTTACCTTTCGTCACTTAACTCCCTTTATCATTCATTTAAAAAAGGAGGGGCGCTCAATAAACCATATTTATTTATGGGGGAGGGGTGGATGACAAAGTTTAAGAGTTGTACTCCACCATCAATCTCCCAATAACCAGAATATCAAGAAGTAAAAAACGTTTAAAGGTTGTCCTTGACCATCAAACACCCCCATAACCTGAATATCATGTAGTCACAAAGTTTAAAAGTTGTCCTTGACCACCAAATTCCCCATAACAAGGGTATCAAGGACTAACAAACTTTAGGAGTTGTCCTTTACCATCAAACTTCCTCATAACCAGAACATAAAGGATTAACAAAGATTATGAGTTTTCCTTGGCCATCAAACTTCAAAATATCGAGAATTAACAAAGTTTAAAAGTTGTCCTTTACCATCAAACTCCCCTATGACCAGAATATCGAGCAATAACAAAGTTTAAAAGTTGCCCTTGACAACCAAACTCCCCATAACCAGCATATCAAGAAGTATCAAAGTTTAAAAGTTGTCCTTGACCATCAAACTTTCTTATAACCAGAATATCTAGGAGTAACAATGTTTAAAAGTTGTCCTTGACCATCAAACTTTCTTATAACCAGAATATGTAGGAGTAACAATGTTTAAAAGTTGTCCTTGACCATCAAACTTTCTTATAACCAGAATATCTAGGAGTAACAATGTTTAAAAGTTGTCCTTGGCCATCAAACTTTCTTATAACCAGAATATCTAAGAGTAACAATGTTTAAAAGTTGTCCTTGGCCATCAAACTTTCTTATAACCAGAATATCTAAGAGTAACAATGTTTAAAAGTTGTCCTTGGCCAT